GCCAAAAGACAATACTGTTGAAATAAACAAAACATGTGTATAATTCAAACTAGACATCTTTCATTAATCAAGGAATGAAAAAAGGAGAGCTGTCTTGCTTGAAAATAACCTATAACTTAGTGCAATGAGGCATGGTGCCCTACACTGGATTCTTAAATGAATAAAGACATTGGAGAAAATCCCATGAATCCAAATAACGCCTACAGTTGGCGGTGTCCTAGCAGAGTTGCCGTCCTCATTTTTTTGGCACTTCTGTGCAATGTTAACAAACAGGGAAGCTGGAAGAGTAAAGGGACATCTAGCTCACATTCAAGTCTACCATAAACTGAGAATTTAGCATAAGCTTTTTAAATAGCTGTCCAGGATACTTGGGTAATCTCTCACTTGAAAAGAAAATAGGAGTCTGAAAGAGAAAATTGAGAAATGCAACCTGGACCAGCTAGGCACCAGTTATCCCTAGTTATCCACACTGAGGTATCAGGGGCCAGGAGCCCCTGCCTCCACTTCCAGGCCAAAAGACTAATAAAACTGTGTGTCAATAGAATATGTTACCCAAGTCAAGCAGTACCAATAACAATGGCCTACGTATTCTACATATGGAAAATGACACACACACACCCCGTTCGTGCTGGTACCTTTTAAAGACAGCATATTTATTTTCATGGACTGACCAAAACATCTCTTCTATGGGCTACTAGGAAGACTGGGGAGAAACTAAGAAAGGCTTCGGTGTTCTCTAGACCTGTGAGAGGGTTTCTATCAACCAAGTGTAGAGGAATGGTGTCCCAGTGTGTAGTTCCTAAAAGTAAAGCGAGAACCAAGGTTTGAGGTTACATGTGGATGGTAATGGATGCTCAGGCTCAACATTAACAGTTCGACAATCTACTCCAGAAGGTAAGGCCAAGAGTTCTGGTGTCATTGTGGAATACACCACAAATATTCGGCATCCAGTTTCCCAGCAAGTGGTGCCCTTCAGCAACCAGTGCTGAGAATAGCTTTTGCGTGCTAGTGAAATAACTGATAGCTGGAGGATCCTAGATATTTATAGGATGGTCTGATCATTGGAGATACCAATGTGAGATCAGGTGTTTGGTCTGTTCAGCTACACCTCCATCCTCAAAGATAGCAGAGGATTAGGTTGATCATGAAGGTCTAATGATAAAACCGGGCCTGTGTAATAAGCCTGTGTCAAAAACCCAAAAGGACAGGGTTGAGGTGATTTTGTGAGAGCTGAATGCATGAAGGTATACGGAAGCTGGCGTGTATAAGGCAGTTATAGGAGATCTGGGCCTCTTTGCCTCTTGCCCTGCACATCTCTCCAACTGCCACTGGCACCCTTTGAAATTCCTTCATAAGAAACAGCAGAGCACAAACAAAAGGTTTCCCCGAGTTCTGTAGGCAGTGTCCCAGGAACTCCAACTTAGAGCCAGCCAGTCAGAAACAGGTGACAATCTACAACTTGTGGCTGGTGACTGAAGTGGGGAGGCAGTCATATGAAACTGAGTCTTTGACCTAACATGATCTCCAGCAGATGATGTCAGAATTGAACTGAGTGAGAGCTGGGGGCGGGGCAGGGGGGAGCTCTTACATATCCGGAGACAGGGTTGTATTTAAACATGGATGAGCAGGAAATGCACTTCAGCGTGTTCCCTTGAATCTCCGGCTCCTTGTGGCCACGATGCTCATGCGGAAGCTGATGAAACTTCTGGTGGGAACATGAGCCGCCATCACCTCCAAGATGCCCGGCCAATGGCGAAAATGCCCCCTGGTCCCCACTGCAGGAAAAGAGCTCAGACCGGAAGACCTCATAGGATCTCTCCCCTATTGACACTGAGCATCTGTCACTATCCATTAACCCCAAGGCAAGTAGGCTGGCTGCCTCCGGCTTTGAATTGCAGCTAACTGCCAAAGAGGCTGCTGTGGGGGCTCTTGGCAAAGCAGGGGCCAGGACAAAAGAGACTGAGACACATCAGAAAAGAGCATTCAGCTGTGTCTGGAGGTCACACAAGTAAACCTAGCCCTTGAGAAGCTGAGGAAGAAAGATTGCTAGCTCCAAGTTAGCCTGGACTAAAAAGATCAGGGAGTCATGGGAGAAGGCTCAGTCAGTAAAGTCGTTGCCATGTAAGCAAAAAGACTCGAGTTCAATCTCCAGGACCCATGCAAAAGCCAGGAGTGGCAGTGAACAACTGTAACCCCAGTGCTGGCCTAAGGGGCTTGCCTGCAAGCCAGTCCAGCTGAACTGGCTAGCTCCAGGTTCAATGAGACACCCTGTCTCAAGAAATAAGGAAGAGGGCAATTGAGGAAGATGCCCAACCATTAACCACTGGGCTCTAATCACACACACACACACACACACACACACACACACACACACACCAAGAATAAAAAAAGGAAAATGGGAAGAAGAAAGAGAGTGAAGCATGCAGCAGCCGATGACCTGAGTTTGACCAATCAGTGTTAAAAACAAACAAACAAACAAACAAATAGAGGAAGACAACACAGCCAGTCAGTGGACTGGGGGAGGGCCATGGGAGGAGATGAGGAAGGGACAGTGGGATTGGGAGGGGCTGAGGGAGGGGGCTACAGCTGGGATACAATGTGAATAATTTGCAATAAATAGAAAATAAATTAAAATTAAAATCTCTTCAAACTGGGGGGTAGGGGTGGGGTGGGGACCTGTAGATTCTGCCACTCTAGAGTAGGCTGCCCCAATGGTCCTCACTGCAGGGATAAGCCATCAGTTCATTCCTCACAGAGGCAGGCCAGCCTGTAGCCTTGTTGGACACAGCTGTGCCCTATGTCCATCCGTGGTCCTGTCATTTCTCCCTCGACACTGAGTCTACAACTTTGGTATGACTCTCAGATCTTCCTTAGCCTAATCTTCTCAAGGTGTGATGTTTCCTTAGTTGACATTTTAAAGTTACTTACTCTGCTTTCTGTGCTTAATGTTCTCTGTGTCTCTGTCTCTGTCTCTCTCTTTCTGGTCAGGGAGATCCTAAGGTGTACCACTAAAATTAACCTGACTACTCTGCCCTCTGGAGATTGGGAAAAGCCCATGACTAAATGTTTTCCACCTTACCTTATTAATACAGGCTGTGTCTTTTTTGGACCCCTCTCACTTAACCATCACCTACAGCCTTCCATGTAATTCCATCAAAAAGGCCCCATGTCACACAACTCTAACCAAATTTGGAACTTAGATTTATTTTTCTGCCAATGTTGTGCCGCCTAAACTCTTCTCACCATGGAGAAGTCTATCTACCACATAGGCATGTCCTGCCTGATTTATGCCATGTACCTCTTGTGTCTTCATAAAAGTCATTGATAAAACATTAAAGTGGCCTAAAGAGACAGCTCAGTTAGTAAATGGCCAGTTGTGGAAACCTGAGGACCCGAGGTTGACCCCCAAACTCATGCAAAAGGAAGCTGGGTGTGGTGCCCCAAGCGTGTCATCACAACCCTGGGGAGGAAAGATAGGTAAATCCCTGGGACTGAATGGCAAGCCAGTCCAGTCAGAGAAGTGGCGTGCAGGCCGGGCTTCTGGAAAGACGGTGGGTGGCCTCGAGCGTGTGCACACACACAAGTACACACCCACATTCATGCATACACGAAAATATTAAGATGACAGACAAAAGATCATTCACAAGGACTTAAGAAACAGATTTCTAGCTTACTGTTGCCAGAATTTGAGAAGGATGGGAGGTTCTGAGAGACTTGTGTCGAATGCATAATGACTTTTGCAGTGTTCTTTCCTTGTGCATGTGTTTGTGTGTGTGTGTGTGTGTGTGTGTATGTGTGTGTGCATGTAGGTGCTCCGGGTAGATTCTAAGAATTATCCTTTGTCACTCTCCCGCCTTGATCACTGAGCCAGCATCTTTCAATCAAACTCTCCATGTTATCAGTCTCGATAGCCTGCTTGCTCTGGAGACCCTGTCTCCATCTTCTAAGGCCATAACTACAGGTGGGCACTGTGCCCACCCAGCATGTAAAGTGCGTGCTAGGGAACCAAACTCTAGCCCTCACCCTTGCGTGGTAAACACTTCAGCCCATGAGCCATCTGGTACATGACAGCCTGGGGATAAATTGAAATCAGGGTGAAATGGGCAAAGCCACATGGATACTACACGTGGCTTCTCGAAGACTCTTGGGAGAAGACAAGCCAGGCCCTTGTGGGAAGCTTCATGCAGAAGCATGGAATTAGTTGAGCCACTGAAACACATTCTGTGAAATCTTTGCACCTCCTCTGTATCTCCTACCTTCTACTTCCCCCGAAGTCGCCATGAGTGAAGGCTGGTGTGTGAGGAAGAGGAGGAACAAAAATACTCTTGTTCCTTTGTGGTGTAAGTCACCTGGGGTACATCCCAGCGTTCCCATCAGGCAGATGAGGAAACAATGCTTAGGGAAATCCAATGATTCAGTGATTGTGGTAGACTGGACAGCTGCTTCCATTCCCCACCTCCATGAGTGATAGCGTATTTCAACACATTACGAAAGCCCAGCTTTCAAGGCTTCAAGCTTCATGAGGTGTAGTTTCCCCCACTCCATGGATTTGATCATATAATCTGCGCAGCCAGTGGGATATCAGCAGACATGATGCCAGCGGAGGGTGCTTGTGTGGTAGGGCATGCCTCTTGCACTTCTTTGATTGGCAGGAGATCATGCCTTACAGCCGCTGCCCCTCTAACCTGAATCCCAGAGGAAATCACAGGAGACCCAAACATGATCTGGAGCCTGGAGCTAAACTCAGCTGAGGTCAACAGACTCCAGCCTGAAGCACAGTCACTCCAGTTAACCCAGAGACTTCTAAACACATGAGAGTGTGCTTTCAGTTATACGCCTGTAAGTTAGGTCCAATTTGCTCCACACCATCATTATGGCAGCTGATCACTGACGAAAGAAGTCTCTGAGCTTGAAAGGAAAGCTCTTGAAACGCACAAAACTGCCTTGCCAAGGAGCAAGGCTACAGCCCGTGGCTCCCCTGCCCACCACACGGTACTCACCTGAGTCTGAGGCCGCTGGGCTCACGAGGCTCAGCAGCTCCCGCTCCTTCTCATAGTCCCCTTTGCAGAGCAGCTGGCCCTCCTTCAGGACAAACTCGTCACCCTTCTGCAGCTGTCGCTCACAGACACAGCAGCAGAAGCAACTCAGGTGGTACACGCTCTTCTGGGCACGCATGACAAACTCATTGGGTGCAATGGCCTCGAAGCAGCCCCCACATTTGACAGCAAACAGTCTACAAGTGGGAGAGAAAGAAAAGCAATGAGGTCTGCCCTCAGGTCAACAGCCAGAAGACCTCCAAGCCCTGGGACAGGAATGTTTGTACTGGAGCAGACTTCAGATTCAGGGTAATCAGTGTCTTTCTGGTCTGCCGAGACCCATGACAACTCAGGCTGACAAATGGAAGTCCCAAAATTTAAGGATCTATCATCTTTCACATTTAAATTATCTGATGAGACCATAATTGCATTTGTAAACACTTTGACATAGGCACTAAGATAAACATCTAAAGATCTCTATGGGATTCATTCATTGTAAAATTCATTTCACTATTTTCACAAGAAAGTGTTGTTTGCTTTTTTTTTTTTTTAAGCAGTAACACAATTGCAAAGGCAGAAAGAGTCTTTGCAAAGGCTTCTCCGTGTGTTCCTGCACACCAGAGGAACTGACAGATAGGAAGGTCAGATGGCACAAGGGAGAGAGAAGCAAGGAAAGGGGGCCAAAGAATGGCACAGCTCCCCTCTTCACCAAGGCAGACACATAGTGACACAGAGTATATTTAGAAAGCTGATGCCAATTTGTTCTGCTAATAAGACCCACCTTGCCAGGAATGATGGAAACATAGACAGGCTTCTATGTTTATGTGTAAGGGTGCTTTCCTATAGACAAGCCAGCTTCCACATTGGTCTAAAAGGAAGCCAATCCTGTCTCTTTGCTTGTTCATATGTCAATCACTAACTTTTCTTTTCATTCACTGATTTGCATTAGTTCAGAAGCATCCACTATCCACTCTGTGTCTTACTAGAGAAGAAAGAAAAAGAAACCACACACCAACTGTAGTCACACGTGGAGTCAAGTGTGCAGTGTGTGTGTGTGTGTGTGTGTCATTGCTGTAGACACAACAGTATACAAGACAAATCCTCCATAGTTTGAGGCTCACATGCTTGTGGAAGAACATAAATAAGACTAGGAAGGTGGCTCAGTGGCTAACAGTCCTCGCCACCTGACTCTGACAGCCTGAATTCAAACCCCGAGGCTCACTTAAAGATTTAAGGAGAACCATTTCCTTCCTTCCCTGTGGGGTTTTCTCGTGACTGGGACTCACAAACGGTATATACTCAATCATATAGACATATAACATAGGATAAACCTACTAAAATCTGTTCATCTAAAGAAACTAATCAAGAGAGAAGACCCTGACTAAAATGCTCAATCCCTATCCCAAAAGGCAAAGAGGTTGGACATCAGAAGAAGAAGAAAGTAGGAAACCACCTAGAAACCTGCCACAGAGGGCCTCTGAAAGGCTCTGCCCTTTAGACTATCAAAGCAGATGCTGAGACTTATGGCCAACTGTTGGGCAGAGTGCATGGAATCTTATGTAAGAAGTGGGAAATAGTAAGATCTGGAGAGGACGGGAACCCCACAAGGAGAGCAACAGAACCAGAAAATTTGAACACAGGAGCTTTTCCAGAGACTCATACTCCAACCAAGTACCAGGCATGGAGATAACCTAAAACCCCTGCACAGGTGTAGCCCATGGCAGTTCAGTGTCCAAGTGGGTTACATAGTAATGGGAAGAGGGACTGCCTCTGACATAATCTGATTGGCCTGCTCTTTGATCACCTCCCCCTGAGGGGGGAGCAGCCTTACCAGGCCACAGAAGATGACAATGCAGCCACTCCTGATGTGATCTGATAGACTAAGATCAGAAGGAAGGAGAGGAAGACCTCCCTTATCAGTGGACTTGGGGAGGGGCATGTGTGAAGAAGGGGGAGGGAGGGTGGGACCAGGAGGAGAGAAGGGAGGGACTTATGGGGGGATACAAAGTGAATAAAGTATAATTAATAAAATTAAAGTAAATTTAAAAACAGATGTAAGGAGAAAACTGACTAATGTAAAGTTGACCTCTGACCTCTACATGTGCCCCACAGTGGTACTAAAAATTAAAAAAAAAAACAATGCAGAGCTGCCCCATGAGTACAAAATAGTATAAGTTAAAGCTAGAGATATATAAGGAATTACAGTATTCAGTAACTTCCCAACTATGACGTCGTGCCCATTTGATTATCAGGCAATATCCTCACACGGCATGTTTATCCTGGAAACTTCCAGAAGAAAACAGTTTGAAGGTGGAGTGAAAAGGAAACTTAGGAACAGTTCTCAAGGAAGCATGACACACAGGTTGGCACAGCAGAGAGGGAAGACTTTTAAGTTTTGAGTGGAGAAAGCCAAAGCTTGAAAAGGAGAATGAAGTCACCTGCCATGAAACCTGGAGCCACCCACAGACGGCCTCCTAGAACCAGACACAATCTGCAGGATTGGAAGAAACGTACTACAGGGCCTGCAACAGAAGCTGTGAGCTACCATGCCCATCCCTCGGCCATCAGGAGCCCCCATGAAGCAGCTAATTTTATACGCTCCCACTCTGCCTCTCAAACTTTGCAATGGAACGGGGTTGAAGACCTATCCAAATGGCTGGTGTTGCCCTTTCAGCACCAATAAGCTCCTTGCCCAGAACTGCAAGAACCAGAAGCCTTTCCCCTCCCTCTCCCCTCCACCAGCTGCCCATGGCAGTTTTCCTGACTATCACCAGAGTCCCTCCAGTATTTTCTTTCACAACTTCTCCCCTTGCTAGATGCCACGCGTTGTGCAGAAAATCTACCTAGTTCGCCCTTTGGCCTCCCAAGTCCCTGGTCTCTGTTTGCCATCCTGAGCAAACTCATCAATGCTTTTCCAGGAGCCGGTCAAAGGCCTTTTGTCCCCAAGCCTTGCTTCTGTTCCCCTTCCCCTGGAATGGACTGTTAAACAGACTCAAGGCAAATGTTCCCAGGGAGTCAACAAACACTTAAGCAGCAGCAGCAGCGGCTGGTAGCATCTGTGCTTGTCTGGCTCCTACCCTGTTAATCTCCCCTTCTTTTTCTTTCCCCTTAAACTTTTCCCCCACTCCATAAATTTGCCCCATGTTAGAGAAGGGAGGGCTGGAGTGAACACAACAAAGACAGTCCTCCGCCATGTTGACTCAGGAGCCTTGCTGGAAGTGACAGTAGTCACACAGGCTCAAATCCTGATGTGCCCACGTTCCCCAAGGACTGCAAGCCGGAAGAGGCAGGCAGGACTGATTCCTTCCATTCTCCCTCCCTGGATCCAAACCAGGTCGGCTGCACCTTACTCCCTTGTCGCTTGTAACCTTCAAGAGCAATTCAAGAAGAGGAGCATGCCATCTACCACCTGGGTGCCAGATGTGTACACAGCTGTACGGGTACCACTGTGGACCCAGCTGCCGACTGCACAGCCTCTCACAAGTTGTTTTCTCTAAGGCTCAGAGAAGCAGAGAAAAGGATTTGTTCAAAAGTCCAGGTCATAATTAAAACACAGCCTGTCTCTTCCTGGTGCTTGAGATGTGTCCCCCATGGTTACTTCCCCCTCTGAATGCTAATGAGGCTGCACTCTGGGTTCACAGGCTGCTGTGCCTGGAAAAGCTGGGAGACGTTTCCAGAAGCACCGGCTCACCTACGTAGACGCGACGGCATCCAACTTTTCTCAGCATTTTACATTTCTCTTCCTCTCAGTCTCTCTCTCTCTCTCTCTCTCTCTCTCTGTGTGTGTGTGTGTGTGTGTGAGTGTGATACCTTTGGGGTCACCCCTCTTCTCTCCCTTGTATCTCATTCTCACTTAGAAAATGTCAGTGGAGCATCTTCCTAGCAGAAAAGCATCCTGTGCAGTATGGCCCAGGTGCTAAGCCCTTACTGTTCTCCATCTACAGATCAACCTGTGTGAGGAGAGGTGAGAAGGGATGTCACAACAAATGCAGCTACCTCTGTCCTTAGAGAGCCACAGTGGGGACGAGGCTTGTGGTGGTTAGATTTGTGTCAACTCGACACAAACTCTCTGAGAGGAGAAAAACTTCGATTGAGAAAACGTCTCCTTAAGATCGGGCCATGGGCCACCCTGCAGAGCATTTTCTTAATCAGTGATAGATGGAGCTGGTAGTCCTGGGTTCTATAAGAAAGGAGGCCAAGCAAGCCATGGGGAGCAAGCCAGTAAGCAGCACCCCTCCATGGCCTCTGCATCAGCTCCTGCCTCCAGGCTCCTTCCTTGTTTGAGTTCCCATCCTGACTTCCTTTGATGATGAACAATGATATGGAAGTTTAAGCCAAATAAACCCTTTTCTCCCTAACTTGCTTTTTGATCACGCTGTTTCATTGCAGTGATAGAAACCTGAACTAAAACAAGTTGGTTAAGGGTCATGGGAGTACTGATGTGACAGACTTGACTGTGTTGTTTTTCAGAGGCTTGTGGAAGGACTTCAGAACTCTGGGCTTGGAAAGTCATTGAGAGCCCAGTGAGCTGTCCTGTAGAAGCTTGGAAGACAAGAATGTTGAGCAGTGCAGGCAATGGAGGCCTGACTTGTGAAGGTGCAGGAGGAAGCAAAGACTCTGCTGGGATTTTTGTGTGAAGAATCTGTAGTTCTGGTTAGCCGGAGGTGAAGAACCAGCTGTGATTAACAAGAGACCAGAACTATTGAAGTGAAGCCTTCACTTAATTGGGATGCTCAATACTGGTGTGCTGGAGCTAAGAAATCAGCAGTGAATAAGAAGAAAGCAGCGTCCTTGAGGTGCCCAACTTGCTTCTTGGTCATGGTGTTTTATCACAGCAGTAAAAACCCTAACAATCACAAGGCTCTAAACGAATGGCCACAGTTAAATGTGGCTGGGATATGGTACAGAGAAACAACAGAGACATTCACAGACAATCGATTGACACCAGTAGCCACAAAATCGTTCATCTTTTCCCTTCCCCTCTTGGCTGCTCTTGCTGTCTTTTCCCGATCCTTTTCCAGGCAGAGAAATACAGACCTGCTGTAACTTCATTCCATGCCCTGCTTTCATCTTCTTGCACAGGCAGGAGCTACATGAGGCACACCTGTGAGTAGTGTTGAGCATCTACTCCAAAGGGTCTACCACATCCTGATGGTATGACTTGTTCACAACTGACTCTTGCAGCCTCAGTTGGCAC